CTGCAGCACAGGAATATTTGTGTATTTAACTAATGGGACAAGTTTTAGTGTGTCCTAATCAAACTTAATCACCTCTACTTTCTACTAGGTATTACACTGATCAATGGAAAAGCTTTCTAGGCAAGAACTTGGAAAATGATAAAAGCATTTACCATCATTATTTTCTGCTTTTGACAATGATCTATGTCTGTACAGCTCATCAGTCATCTCTTGTAAAAACAGTGTGGCACTTTGATCAAACAGCCAACAATCGCTTCCCGCATAAGGTAAAGTGTTATGAGAGGCCATCAGATAGAAATCACATTTTCTCTGAACAATAGGAACTCAGAAATGATGTGCTTGATTTACTTGCAAATAAAATCATGTGAAAGGTGATATCCTTACAGAGGTTAAAAAGACAGCGATCCTTTTATTCACCTTTCTGCGTATTAAACGAACTCCACTGTCACGCTGCAGCTGAGATGGAGTGTCTACGCAGTGATAAAGAGGCACATTCCAGACCCACGAAACATAACTGCCACTGTTGAAAAATTACCTGCATTAAACCTTATACTTATCCCACAAATTTTAAGAGCAAGATGTGGGAGTTTGATTTTGATTACAGGCCTCTATCTGTGTGGCAGGCAAAGGTCTTTAACCTGTGCGTTCTGAATGTACTGGGTACATAGTTTCATCAATGTCATGCCTCATTGGGTCAATGCAGGATTTTATCTAAAACCTGAGGCTTTTCAGTTTACACTGTATATACAAACACAACCTTTTACTGRTGCTCTCTGCCTTTTGTTTCATTGAGAGGATCTATGGTATTTATAGAAAAGGGAGCTGGAGACATCTTATTTTACTCACTTAGATTCCTATTGAGCTGAGGTCTTCAAAAGGGAAAGGTTGTTTATTTGAAGACTGGTATGTACCAGAGCCACTGGAGCCAAACACTTTTTAGTCTACTGATTGCAAAAACATTCATTTTTAAGAGGGCTGCCACACATTTTCCACTTCTGAATATAAACCTAGGTAAAACACATGATTCTGCTTTATTTTTGCAGCCTGTAAATGACTGATTATTTTTGYAGAAAAGGTAATATTGATGTAGATAATCTTCTCTTGATGTCATGCTACAAGATGTGTGTCAAGATTCAAAGAGGTATCTGCACAGTCCCATTGCAAAAGCAGTTCAAAGGGTAAAGGCACAGGGAAAGTTTGAACAGAAGCTGGAATTTGAAGCAAGCGTAGAAGCTGCCTAGCTTACCATGCCAGCTGTGAAGGGGAAGGAGGTATCTCAGCTCAGAAAATATTTTTTATTTGATTAGAAGTCACTTTTTTTGTGATTTGGTCACAAAAAATACTCATGAATCACATTGTTCTAATTCACACTGCCACCACACAGTCACCAAGAATGGGAGTCTCAACCCTCTTGGCCCATTGCTACCCTGGAGTTACCATAGTGCTCAGCTTCCACAGACAGCAGACTCTAAGAGCTAAATGGAGAAATAAATAACGCAAAATTATGAATAATCTCCACTTCATTACTTAATTTTCTGAATCAGCACAGTGTGATGTCAGATTAATGCCAGCATTGGTGTAATGTAACAGGGGATAGGAACAAGACTGGTTCCTGTTAGGCTTGCCTAGCTGAAAAAATACCTGAAAAACTTGGAAAAGCGAAGTTTTTCCTTTCCTTCTTTTCCAAACAAATGTATCAGCAACACGGTATTAACCCCACAGCTGTCCAGTTCTGTTTCCTAYAAAGCAAAAGAACTGTATGACTGTTATGCATTGCATGATCATTCATATTCACCATAAATCTAAAAATAYTTATTTGAACTAGAATTTCACAAGAAATACTTGAAATTTAATTACTGTTCCCAAAGCTATCACATAGGATCTCAGAGTTGAACAATTTTTCCATACCAACTGCTAACAGTGTATTATAAAATCTGCTTCTAAATATTTTGTATGAAAGATARGAACAACTTGCAACCACCATCAATGTATTTTATTATTAAAACGGAAAAGACTGCAAGTTAAGTCTTTAAGAACCATTGTTCTTAAGTGAACAGAAGGCTCAAATAAAGTTGGAATCTGCAAGGAAATTTGAGCTAGGTATTTCTAACATGTTACAGCCATTAAAAAACATTCATGATGGGCTAATAAATGAATCTAGGAAAATACAAACATTGATAATGCTCTATTTTAGTATGGGCTTCTTGGAAATTTTCAGTGTTAGTGACTTTTCTAAGTATTTTTAAAATCTGGAGAAGAAATTACTGCAGAGAAGGGATACACACTATTTCAACTCAACAGCATCTTTAACAAGCCTAAACCCACACATAATTTCTACTCTATTCTTCTTTCAGCACTTGCATACTGGCATTTCTTTGAATGCAACAAAACATTAAGCAAYATGAAGAGAGAATTTTTTTTAAGTCTGTAGGTATTTCAGCAAACTATTCTCATGACATCTTAAATAGCCTCTGTGTCTTTTATCTGGTTGAAGAGGTAAGATGAAAGACAAGAGTCTATTCATRAGATTTAATACTAATGGTTATTTAGCTTTCAGCATCATCAATAACAAGTCCCATTAGTTTGCTCTGTTTCATGCTTACTGCATACGTGACACAGTTATTTTAGTTATTTTAGAAGCAGTAACATTCCTCRATTCTACTACAAACTACAGTTCACTAAATGCCAGTGATATGAGTTATATTTGAGGGAACCTAGAGAAAAAAACTTTTCAAGCCATATGCAAACTGTACTTACTGAACTTTTATTATCTAATTGCAGGCAAAGAATATTTAAATACCCACAAGATCCATCCTTCTGAAGTTTAAACACTTCAGATTACTGTGAAGACTGATGCATAAACATTGGTATATGCTTTTTTGAAAGCCAAAAGTCAAACATTCATGTATGCTTATTTGAAATTCAAACCCAAACTATTTATATCAGAATGAAAAGTTTTCTAAGAAGAAACAGAGAAGAATCCACACATCCCTCACTGCAGCGAGATTGTAATCTGCTTTTGCAGGTTTTGTTTACATGTTTAAAGGAGACTTGAAAAATGCAAGAAATTAATTAGCTGATGTAATTTTAAAAAATGAATTAATGATTACACGACTTAATGCTTCCAATTTAATGATTCCRTATTATAATCAGAGTTGTATTGAAAAAAACTGAAAAAATGAGTTTTAAAATAATATTTTCAAAACTAAGTCTGTGACAGAAAAAACTTTTTTCTTCTATTCATGTTTCTCTAGTTACAAGCTAGAAGAAGGCATACTAACAATACCTACCTCATCTTATCTAAGATGACAAAGCCTATCCCTGGATTTATAACAAATATGCACCTACTTGCTGACTACCCTCTTTATCAGTTGAAATTCCACAGTGAAATTGGCAGATGTCCAAACACCATGTTAGTGAGAGTTAAACGTTGAGAGTTAATTTTATTGTATTTTATTGCATAAAATGCAATAGGAGACCACAGAGACTACAGCTTAAGGGTAAAATTTAAAAAAAAAAAAAAATTGCTTTTCCTAGAGTTAATGCTATTAAAATAAAGTACATGTTAGTACATAATTCCTTTCTGTCCACAGAATCATTAGGAGCTTTTGCTGCTGATCTATATAAATTAGTACTGACATGAGAAATCTTTGTTAGAAGATAATCAGAATTCTATTAATATTTCAAATACCTTGCCCTCCTGGGTACCCTGAGCTTGGGTAAAAGAATAACTTACACTTGGAATGTTTCTCTTGGCAATGAGAATGAAATGGTAACTGAATCCTGAGCTGTAAAGCAGACCAGACTAGTAGTTTTCAGTMACTATCTAAACTGAGTGAAAGTTTGCATTCTGATGTACCTGGCTCCTTCAGCCCTGGGAAGGTGCACCATAGAACTCTTCTGAGCTGTGCAWTTTACAGAATGCTGAGGCACAGAATGGAGAAAGGACCACATAGGTCTGAGTTTCATCTTGATACAAGCATGGGATGGGGCAGAGACATGTATCACAACTGGGAACTCAGATGTGTTCCAGGGTCCACTGACTCCAACAAAGAATCCCAAAGACCACACAATCTGATGCCACACAAGTCTATGAACTAATGAACATGTGTGTACATATTAGAAACACAGGYTAATATTCCTAGAGCAATGTTAACGCCTCCTACACTTTTGAAAAGCATAAAGAACTGCTGAATTATGCAATTATTCCTTTTTAAGCAAGATCAGATAACACAAGTTATTTCCTTATTACATTACACAGATCGTTAACATAAGAGACCTGATGCTGCAAACACTGAGTCATGGGCAAAGACCTACCTAATCCTGTAGCTCCCCACTGAGCTTTTGACATTTAGGACCTGAAACTGCAGCAAGTACCAACAAGTGCCACTGAGAAGAAACTTATCACACAGTGAGATGGGATTTTCAGAATAATGTACCTAACTGATTTTCAAAACTCATCTGAAATGTTAATAGACTTACTGTCTGTAGATTCTTACCACCTTTCCTTGCAGAATTTGCCTGAGGCATGACTGGAAAGCATTTATCATGATTAAAATCTGCAATTCGTTTCTTGTTCTCTTGCTTGCTTCCTGAGCGATGATGTTTGCTGTGCAATGTCTTATTTCAATAGATATTGTAAAAACAATACAAATTTTGGAATTGATTTTTTTTTTTTTTAGTTAAGTCAGAAGGAGAGTGAGTAGATGGAAAAATGGGCAGAGAAGTGAGTTTGAGCAAAGAGAACAATATCTTAGTTTCTGTCTGCTAGTGATGCTCCAAAACTTTTCAAAGGTAAGACTAAATATTTACAAATTTTTCTGAGCCCATTTTTCTGTAATGCTCTTTGTTTTTAACCTGCTAGTTCAGTCATGCCAGCCTAGCTTCAAACACTGCTCAAGATAATTCAGGCTTTCTGTCATTTGGAGATTCTTCAAGATGCTGGGGTATATCCTACAACTCAGTTCTGGTAAGAAGGTTTAAAAGACGTGTCCATTATGAAATTAATCCTACCAGTTACAGTCAGTCAAAAGAACTGTTAACAGGCCAGCTAGTAGGACCAGGAGATCCAGATCTCCAAAAGCAGTCTTTTTTTGGCAAAGCCCAAACAGTCTCAAGAGGGCTTCAGAATGAAACATTTAATCATAATGTAAATCCATACTAAAGTTTTTCCATATTTTGCAATATACTTGCTTACTAGGTARGATTCAAGAATACCTCAAGTCTGATGCAGAACGGTTGAAATGTGCACAGCTGATTCTTCAGAGGTTATAACAGACAATATTTGAGAATTCTGATAGAACATCTTCTAAACAATRAACAGCATCCAATAACACCCATATTTCTATTACTTGGAAGATCAGTTGTTTTTTTTAATGACAACTAATGCCATGGAGTCACTCTGCTGTACACTTAGGGTTTTTAGTAATGAACAACATGTTACTTCATGAACATCCTCAGGTTCCAGTGCACCACCCACAGTTCTGCATCAATTTATAAGGAGGGACAGAATAAAAATGGTTTCTGGCCAAAGGGGCTAAAACTAATCTGAGAGGAGACGCCACAGGAGATACTTTATGCCAGAAATAGAGTAGGTTGAAACTTGTCTTGCTGTGAGCAGGTTGGCYGTGCCAAGCAGTCAGGGAATGGCACTGTTGCACTGCAAAGCCTGGGGCTGCCGGACCGATGTCCCGCTGGCYGCCTGGGAAAGCAGCTCCTACACATGGCTGGGGACAGCTCCTCACRGCAACTCAGGCCCTGCCTCTCTGTTGTGGCATACTTAAAAAGTATTACTTTGCACCAAAAGAAGAGATTCCACAATGAGGACCTCTCCTYGGGAGGTGTGATGTGCTATGAAGTCTTCTGACCAAGGCAGAGTTGGCCCCAAAGACCAGGCACATCCATCCTCAGCATGTGCAAACCTTCTTGCTCTTAGTGATGAAAATGGCTCAGGCAGCCTGCAACCAACTCTCCAGACCCCTGCTCAAACATGTTTCTTTTTCTCTCTTGAGATGTCATCTCTTACAATGTCATCAGGTCACATGGAAAAATAAAATAATTTCCTTGTAAATGAGGTAAAAAATAGGCCTACAACTTTTTTAATAGACAAGTATTTTGGTGTCAGACTGTTTGGTCCTTTAGAGGGTTTACCTGCCTGGAGAGCTTTCTTAAAGCACGCAGGCACATCACACTGCTCCTTGGTTTAAAGTATCTAAAGGCTTTTCACAGAATTCAATGTTAAATTGCTGATACAAAGCATACATATTTATACGGGAGAAGATAGGTCAAGAAAAAACCATCTGAACTGAGAGGTTACAAGATTAATGACAGATTCTTTGGGGAGGGATATTAATTTTAGTTTTGGACTAGATTCTTGTAAAACTTGATGTGTTGCACCTCTCTTACAGGGTATTACTGCACTGGAAGAGCATTAGCTCCCAACCACCACCTTCCTTCAGTTTCACACAGTCTTTAGTCATACTGAGCTATGTAGACTTTGAAGCACTGGGTAGAAAACTTAAAACCAATTAGATATTCTAGGGAGCAGATGGCCACGTTATGATGACCTGCACAGTTCCTGCAGCTGAGGAGATGCATCACAATCCTGCATTGTCCGAAGGTCTAAGTGTAAAAACTTGTCTTGACCAGGTAAGCAGTGATAAATCTGTGAAYGAGTAATGTAATCTACCTCTTTCAGAACCACAGGAAAAAAAATTTAAAAAAAGAGAAGTAGACAGGCTAGAACAACTGATACACAAACAACAGAAAATTATTAATGTGTGAGTCTAAAAGTACACTGCATATAGTCAGACCCGATTTTAGTTCAAAAGTTTGCTGTTTAAAAGAGATTAGTAGCTGTGTCCCCAATTACTAGTTATATGTTAAAACCCCCTTCCAATCATACTTATCACGCTTTGTATGAAAATGTGTTCACTAGGGAATCCAGATGCCTACATTTAATCATTTGGAAGCGAGAGAATGCACGTATTTCCCAACATTAATTTCATTTCAATAACAAATATAGAACACTCTGTATTGTCCTTTTTCTAAGACGAACTAAAATTAATTTCTAAGTTTACCCATTACATAAAGCACATAAAATGGGAGGTATTGAAAGTACTTGATAACTCATTAATCTAAATTGAAGGGGCCTGAGAGCAAAGTCCCTRATCTAGACAATTGGTCTGTCCAGTAGATATTTGCCACCATTAGCACTGTTTTCACTGCCAGAATATTAAAGCACCTTACACTGTTAAGAGTATCCTTTTAAGAACTCAGGGCAGTAGCACARAAACAACAGGTGCTGTTCACCAGGCAACGCCTTTTCAAAATAAACCCAATCTTCTAGTTCATGCACTTTCCTACTATAATCTAGACCACTTCCAGGCAGGGAGTTTGGCTCTCCTCTTCCATGAACCATGATCATGTGTTCAATCTGTTTCATATGAAGAACAGTTCTGCCAGGAAGCCAGATGGAGCATTTCCTTTGGSTTATGGGGAGGGTGTTCGAGCTGAGAGTCACTGCCCCTCTTGACTTCTGCAAATTTTCTCCAGTCTGATTAGAAAGAATCAAGTTCCAGTCTTTTAAGTCTGACTGCAGCTCTCCTTCACCGTGTGCACCTCTGCTATGTGATTGCCAGATTGCCTGCACTGCAAAATTCAGCATGGAACCTCCCAAAATATGGGGTCAGTTAAAGCTGGGCTGATTTTTTTTTCTTTTTTTTTCCCAGCATCAATTACAATAAGGTAAAAAGAAAAGCCCTCAAATGAAATACATGTATCTGGATGACCAATACCACTGTAATCCCGTTCAAGGACCATTACTCAGTGGTGAAAATTTGAATTTTAGGTGAGTAAGTTAAAGCCTCAGTAAAAAAGGCAGAGCTACAAGCACCCTGGGAGCACAGCAAACTGCTTTTTCTTTTCATCATATAGTAACTCGATAAGTATTAAATGGCAGCACCGCACAGTAAATAGATGACCAAGAAAGGAAGAAAAATAAAAATTRGGAGAAATACGATAATTTGGATTTTGCCAAGTAGAAGACCAGAATATAATATATAAAGAATATATAAAGAATATAATWTATAAATATATAAAGACCAGAATAATTTCAGGTTAGTTGTACTCCCCAAAGCTATGTAATTCTTCTTTCATACTATAATTCCATTTATAATCTTCTAAGAAACTGTATTAAATAACATTTTCAGGTTACAATAACTTCAGATTTTTCTCAATGGAGAACTCTGAAGAAAATTTTTGAAGCAAGACAAAAACAAAATAGAGACATTCTGGCTCAGGTATTTAATTAGCTCACAAAAAGCTTATGTGTTTATAACTAATCTGTCCAACTGTATCAAAGTTTCTCTGGAAATTTTATACTATACCTGTGCATTCATGCAGAATAAAGGTCCTTTTTCTTTCACTGTCATGGCAGTTAAGTCTCAATTGAAATAGGTTTTGAGGAGCAGACAACCCTATTAATCCTAGCTATTTTAATCTGGTGACTGATGAAAAGATTCAAGAAACGAGATGGTTGCTAGTCAATCAAACAATTTTTAACTGAAGTCTGAATACACATTGAGGGAGGAAAACTTTTGTGAATAAGAAGACAGTTTATGCCTAATAAATGTTAAGGGTGTTAGGAATAGCCACTTCCACTTTTTCCTCAGGCAGGTGAAAAAGTAAAGAACATGAACTACTCTTTGTAGGAACTGCTGATGCATGATAGGTTTACAAAGCAGARTCCTGTATAAATTCCTCATTGAAYGCTTCCAACATGAGCAGCCGCTGTCTCATGCCCAATGTAAACTGTAAGTTTACAGCTGAAAGCAAATTGCTGATACAAGCTGCATCTCACAGTATTAGATGGAGATAATGCAGCTGTACTCTCCCCTTCCTTAGAATCATGGAATCCTTCACAGTAGAAAAGACCTCTAAGATCATTGACTCCAACCACCAACCCAGTACTGCCAAWCCATCACTAAACCACRTCTCYAAGCACCACAKSCACATGTGTTTTGAACAGGGGTGGGGATTCCACCACTTCCCTAGGCAGCCTGTTCCAGTGCTTAACCACCCTTTCAGTGAAAATTTTTTCCTAATATCCATCTAAACCTTTGCTGGTGCAATGTGAGGCCATCTCCACTTGTCCTATYGCTTGTTACGTGGTTCATCAGCTCCTTCTGAGGTGTTGTCAGTATGCTCAGCATTTCCCCTCTCTATTTTCAGTCTCACTCAATGTCACCCAGGCTATGGAATATCACCTCCGGGCTGACAAGAAGACTGAAGAAGAGACTCTGAGAAGAAGGGAGGTCACAGGTAGCTGTATTCAGGAGAAAACGGACAGAAAAGAGCAGGAATTGACCTATCCCTTTAATTAATGAGATATATTTATCATTTGCTAAYGGTATGCAAAACAGCCAAATTTCTTTCCCAGATGCAAGATCAGGCTCTAGGATTTTTTCTTCTGGTCTGCATTTACGTCATCTCTTTCTAGAAGTGAAGGACTTCCAGAAGTACTTCGAAGAAGTTGGAAGGGACTTGACTGAAATAATACCTGCCTTTGTCACCTCCGTGACAATAACCACGCATCAAACCAYGTCAGAATAGGTTATTATTATTGCAACAGAAGCCTTAGGAAAGCTTAAGCTATCAATTTCCATTTGGAAAGCTTTCTATTCTCATATGGCAATACAGAGTTTTTTTCTGGGTTTTTCGTTAAGTAGAAGAGAGTTACTTTGCAAAAGAGGCTCATGGAAGCCAAACAATCTGGTGAGTACACAGTCATGACACACACTAATTGCCTACATTTCATCAGAAGGTTCAGAAATAACAAATAGTTTTCTTCCCCAGTTAGAAAGCAGTTGAAGAAAAGCAAATTATGCCTTTTCATTTAATTAAAGCATTAATACTAAGGCTTATATACATACCTGAAAACTCTGAAAAAATTAAAAAGTTCATGGGAAACATGACAATGTTTTTGTAAGRAAAAGATATCTCTATTTCATACCCGAAGTACTGTTTCATCTCCAGCTGCTTTCAAGTCATCTTCCTTCCCAATGATCCTCTGTAGCTGCATTTTTTGAAACATGAGAAAAGAATAGAAAAATTACAAATTGGATCTTATAGGCATCTTTTTCCAAACCTTGCTTTGATTGCACCTTTTCTTAATTATACATTTCTACAGGGTTCTCTAGTCATGACAAAATATTTGTATACTTGAGTATACGTTGCCATTCCGACACTCTTTTTCCCAGGAATGTCTTATCTRCTGTGGTTAGTTTAAGCAAACATTAATCTATCTCTTGCAGCCCAGTGCTTACTCTATTTTTAGAAGAGATTTTCTTGCACTAGAAGCTTAGCTTTCACTTCAGAAGTTTTTTGAAACTCTGGGGTATAACATCAAGGATCATTCCAGAAATAAAAATTATCCTSATTTTCATGCTGTCCTTCTACATAGCTTTACATAGTTCTGCTACAGACATGATCTTCTAGACATGAAAAACGTACTTGTTCAAATGAGGTACTATACAACTAACAATAAAGAATAATTCAATTAAATAAGAAAACWTTTTTTTTCAGAACTGCCATTAGGCAGACTGTGGTTTGAGTTTTCCCCTCCACCCCTGGAATAAATTTATTGTGAATGTATTAGCTAAGAAGATTTTTAGAATTACTGAAACGACTCACATTTAAAAACATAACTTCCACTGTTCCAAATAAAGCTTTAAGGTAATATAAACAGTGCATTAATTTACAGTACCTCAAGTATATCTGAGCTGCAAGGTTTCTTTGACTGTGTTTCAGCTTCAGAGATGAACATCACCACATGAAAAAGTCATTTAATACAGCATGAAGTACACCTACCTTTCAGACACTTGCATGAATCCTCAAAAAGACAGCAGAAATGAAAGAACAAGAGACTTAATACATTTCAAGTAGAGATATGGACTTACACCAATCAYTCTGGATTTGGAGACTTTAGAAAAGATGCTTTTGAATCTCAAGGATTTCAAAACTACTGGTTTGTTTCTCAGACATTTCTGAGTGATTCCTCAACCTGCCCATTAAAACTGGGAAAAATCCATTACCAAATTTTCATAGCCATTATTTTGAGTAGTTTTWAAATTTCTCCTTTGGGCTTTTTTTCTTTTTTCTTTTATTTTTTTTTAATTGTTCTTCAGAGAAGCAGTATGAGCTTGTAAATACTAAGAAAAACACACTGGGTTGCCAAATGTCATTCCTTGACCTTCAAATTTTCAGTAATTCACCTGTTCTGGGTTTGTCTGTTTGTTTTTYTATCCTAATTTTTTCAGCTTCTTTCTATTATTAGTTTTGAATGTCATGTCCAAAGAAATGCGATAAAACAAGACAATTAAACAGCACTTGTTCCTCCAAGTAATTTTAATTTTTCATCATTTGCAAAACAAATGACTAGTACAGTAAAAGCATTATGAATTTCTTCACAACAAAATAGCATTATAGAGCTCTGATGAAACCACAACTGCTTGTCCATATTCTCACAGAAAAATCACATTTTTTCTTACCTGAAAAATCAATCTTTTGATCACACATAAGAAATAGAACTGCAAATACTTTCCAAACAAGAGAAAATATGATTATTTTTCTTTTGGATTTTATTTCTAAAGGACTCTCAAAAAAGTTTGCAGAGGCTACTAAAGAGCACAGACACACAGAATAATTATTTTTACAAGCATTCTGAAAGATTTCACTTTTTGTTTTCTTACATTCTATGCAAAATTCATAGAGTGCTTGAAATTATTTCCAGAAGTTTGTTGATTTTTTTCCAGCACAATGAAGCAACTACTTACAGAGGGAGAAGAACTCTGCCCTCAAGAAATGGACTCCTCCATGTAACATTTATTTTTATTTAATATTTATATCTGTTCACCACTTATTATACTAATGGCTAATTTAAAGATAAAGAGATCTATTAAGCCCAAGTGAAGCCTTTACTAAAGACAGAGGTAATCTGTTCTGAACAAGCCTTTCTGRCAGAAAGACTATGTCAGTCTTCAAAAAAAAAAAAAAAGTGATTTTACATCTTCCAGTTGCTTGAGAGAGATCAATGCTTGTGGATGCTTTAGGACTACAGAAGTGCTCTGTGCCAAACCACCATAACTGCTGAGTGTTGGGTGCTGGTTCATTCAGCCCCAGGCAAAGCTCTGCAAGTATTTTGTGGTGTCTGCTCTTCAGGAAAAGTGTGTAAGACAGCTTACTTAAAAAGTCTAAGTCATATACCTCCTGTGTGTGCCATCAGAGCTACTCTGCCTACATTCCCAATAGTTTTGAACTGTCATTAATTTTACTTAGGCATYTTTAATCAGGACAGAGTTAGAGAGTTAGGGAAATTCCTTACTTGCTGGGGATTTTGAGAACTTTGGTAGCCTTATTCTTGGTGGGAGGTCTCATATTAATGTGCATGGGTTATTATGTGTCTGGAAATCCCCCTCACCAAGTCTCAAGTGAATGTCTTGMAAGTGCAGAGTTCACGGAAGTATCTTACTGTCCTCACAGGGATGCAGATAACACGGCTCTGAGAAATGATTCYTCACTCTGTCAGGGGCTGATTAAAGGGTGGCAACCAGCATTTGTGAACATGCCATTTCTACCTCATCTTCTTCACCCTRGAGTTGCAGGGCAAAGCAACAAAACCACCTTGGCCCTAAAACTGAAATGTCTTTTGTATTGTGACTGCTTACCACCGAAACGTGGTTGAAGCAGAATTACACTGGCTTCAACACAAAGAAATTGGGAAGACAGAACAAGAGTATGCCTGTGAAGRGAGAGACTTTTCCTAGAAATGAGGAAAATGCGCACTGAAATGGAAAGGCTGTGGAGGACTGTAGAAGGATCTCTGTTAGACAGGTTCTTATGGGAACGAGGTCACGAATTGCTTTTACTGAGCAACCCAGACTACAAGATAGAGGAAGATGAGATAGAAGAGGATGGGAAAGAGAAGGACGTGACTACAGCAGTGTAACATGTACCTTGGACTGACCATGAAGAAGAAACATAATAAGAAGCAAGAACAAAGAACAACTGAAGAACAAAGAATGACTGAAGAAGGAGCAAAATGCTGAAAACGCTGAATGAAAAGTGCAAGGCATACAAATCACGCCTTTGCAAATATACCAATCATATGCTGAGAAGTGATAGACGACTGCTAAATTAACCAATGAATAATTGCCATTCATATAGAGAGGTTGGCTTATGAAAGTAGATAAGAAGAGCTGGTATTAGAAATAAAGTGATCATTGCTCATCGTATCGGTGTCTGCATGACCCGTTATTCCCTGTCACCCAACAGAGGACAAGACAAACTCTCTTGTTGAAACCATGGAATTACATTMAAGATCTCCTTTCTCGAACATCCATTTTTGTTAGCAGAGAGCACTGGGAAATTCTGCATCTCCTTACGCATCTGATCTATACAGGTTTGAACAGCCTATATACATCACGTTAACACATGCACTGAGGACTGGGATTGGAGTTTCTTTTCATCCATCTCCCTTTCCTGAATGACCTGCTTGACAAATCTTGTGCTTGTTCATTCAGCAACATGTGAGAATTGAGATATGCACAAGTCAAAGAATCAAAGAATGACGGACATTTTGCAAACCAAAAGGCAAGATTTTACCTCAACGACCCTGCAGTCTAAATCAGCCAATCAGACAACACAGACATACACAGATGTCTATCAGTAGATAATGATGAGAAGTAGGGTGAACAAGAGGTGACAAAGCAAGAAAATGCAGTAGCAATGAAATTTCTTTTCCCACTGCACCCTGCTTACAGACACTGCTTCCTAAGTCCTGCTTCTTCACTACCCCCTTCCACTGCACTTTCCTTACACACATTTCCTGATGTTATTKTCAAATATAGTATGAAAATCACTATAGAATAGTTCAGATATATTTTCCTAAGATGCCAACAGGGACAAGACAAGTGAGAGATTAGCCACACGAYTGACTAATTTATTAGCTATCTAGAAACTTTCTATGATGCATACAGTCCCTGCTTTCCTGGGGATGGCTGAACACCTGTTCTGCCCATTGGAAGCAGTGAATTAATTCCTTGTTTTACTCTGCTTGTGTGTGGCTTTTGCTTTCCCTATTAACCTTTTCCATCTCTTACCCTTCTGATTCCCTGATCCAGCTGTCAGGGAGAGAACAAACAGCTGCCTGTGGCTTAGTTGCTAGCAGGGGTTACATCATGACCAGAGGCTCTGCAGGCTCAGTTACAGGCTTCTAAGAACATTGTCTTGGTAAATGATCTGATTTCAAGTATTATTTTCAAATAGTACTACTAAGTCTAAAAGTATTTTTACAACATTTTAGAACAGATTTGAAGTATGACTCATCAATCAGAACCTTGCTAAGAGACAATTCACTGAAAAAAGGTGATCAGTGCAAAACATAAGTGAACAGCTATTGTACCATTAATTTCAGAGTTTCAGGCTATGAAAGTACACCTAAATAAATTTGTGCTAATCAAATGTGTTTCTATCAACAGGTCCACTTTTAAAAATTTTAGATTTTAAGGTTCTCTACAGTTRTGCATTCATGACCAGCTTTAACTTCATCCTAGTGAGAGAAAACAATTTGAATTGTAATAGCCATGCCAGCTTCTTACAAAATTGTCTCTCCAGTTACCTCCAATATGAATTAAGGATCTGAATTAAGTTGAGGATTCTCTTAAAAGTTATGATTTTTAATTCTGCTTTCAACTTTTGACAAGAAGTGCTTAGTCTCCTGTTAGATATTGAAAAGTTGAATAAACTATATAATTAAGTCTATTTTTTCTTTAAAACATCAGAGTAAAATTTTCTTACTTTTTGAAGCATCTACCTTTCTCCCTTGTAGTTCTATAAAATATGGGAAAAACCTGCTGTTTAAAAGTGTGAATTGATAAAAACCTTTCTGCAACAGCAAGCAAAGTTAATAAAAACCAAAAGAGGATGGTGAATCAAAGAAATTATTCAACAACTTAGAAAACAGAAGACTCTTCCAGATGATTATTTAAAGCAGCCCATGGGATTAAGGGATGTACACTAAGTCCTACCTTCCCAGTAGAAGATTTTTAGATAAAATTCAAAGGTAGTATTTATAAAAGTGGATTCAAATATGGTAAGTACTCCTATCACAATACTTTGRTATGTGCTCCTTTCATATAATGTATTTTTGTAAATATATGATCATGACTGAACTGAAAAATAGGCTTGATGATTTTAATGAATCTTCATTTAGCAAATATAACCCATRGATCTTTTTAAATGCTTTAAAATTAACATGCATGTAAATACACCTACCTTAAAGAATTCTTTCTTTTCAACTTGTTCATTGCCATCTGCATCCAACATTTTAAAGGCAATCTGAAGTCCAGTCTGGGGTTCTGCAATAAATTGCAAAAGAACTTCATTGCAATATCAATACTCATACTAGTACTCAAATATTGATTGTAAAATTAATATTGACTATGGTTCAATTTTCCATTGTTATGCACATATATGTGTATACGTACCAGTGAACCATACACACCTCCTCCMATATAAGCAAATTTTAAACACTTTTTTATTATAATTTCAATGGATAATTAATCCAATAGYGAAGTAAGAAATGCCAGCAGTGCCYAAGTACAGCTGTGAATGTCCATCTTAACACAACGACAATACTGTGTCTCTTACTGGCCAAATCTTGAGGTATTCCCAAGGGATATCTCTATACTCCCATGCCACTTCTGCAGTCTAGCTCTGCCTTGTTTATTAGAGCTCCTTTTCAGGTGAGAAGAGTGGAAATTGCCTTCATAAGCAATAACTACTCCCACACTGGTGGAAAGAGCTAGTATGCTCCTCAGGACTTTGATGACTGTATGCCAGCACGTGCAGTCTCTCTTGCAGATACACTGATGCTGTGAATGCAGCCAGCTCTCCTGGCTCCTGCTCCTGTTGTGTTAGCCCAAAGCCTTTTTCTCCCTTCCCTTCTCCTTCCTCCCTAAACAGTGTTCTCAGATGTTACTGTGTTGTAATAAACTGCTCTTTCTGTCTGTTTTTGGCAAAAGCATGTTTGGTATGACTCCCATCAAGCTGTTTGTTTTTTTTCAGGAATTCTGCACAATTTTACTCTGCACTTCCTTCAATGAGTGGATGTTTCTTTTCAACAYAAAAATGCAATGAGTTCTGAATCTTGAAGGTAATATAAAAACATGGTTTGTTTCGAGCTCCTTCCCACGATTTCCTGATCTTACTTCACTTACAGGAGGTGGCCTTGATCATTAGTGAGCCCACACAGGAGCAGCATGTTGCTGAAATATAGTTACAGTTCACTGCAGTAGCAAGCCCTTATCCCAGTGATCTCTGGAGCAGGTGAATTAATTCCACAACCCAGTCATGTCAGGCATTAATATGAAAKCCATGGGCTTATTGTCTCTGGAATATATTGATTCTTCCGAGCACAATGCTGGACTCATGAGGGCAGCGAAGCAGTATCTCTAAAAAACTCTAATGCCTTTTGCTTTTGTAAATACATTCTTCTAGTTGCATTCTTTAAAGTTTTAAGCCCTGCTTTTCTTTTTTTTTAGAGAGTCTTTCTGCAAATTGCACAAATTTAGAGGGTCTTTCTGCAAATGGAATATCCCACTCCTTTTAAGTTATAACAAGATGGTTAAAGGAAGKACTATTTTTACATTTTAGAAATAACTTCAGCAGTCGACTAATGTTCTGTGTGAAGCAATCTTGWGATGCAGGGATATTTTATAAATACCATTGCAGCCTGCACAGCATAACTGTCCCCAGCAACTGGGTTGATTTAATAATCAAAACTGTCTTCCTTTCCATGGAAATGCCACACTCTAAATTTGTGTTACTAGTACAAAAGCAAGAAAAGGCTATCCAATAACRTATTTAGAGAATAAAAGTAATTGATGTATTTAATAGCAATTCATACCATCTGTGTTCCAATTTTCAGATAAGAGAGCTGTTAGTGAAAATATAGACCTAAATCTGCTTATACTGTTCAGAGATGACATACTTATCTGATATGATGTAACCCCAAAGGTATGTGTTCGTAAAATAAGCATAGTTCAAAGACTACCACAGATATATTTGTATTTAATTAGAATCAGGCAAAATTCCAAAATCTGAACAGAACAGCTTCATCCTGGCTGAATGCATGTTAGACCTAGGTGCTTCCTCTCCTACTATTCCTGCGTTGACCAAGCTGTCAACTTGTGTGACTGGGTAATTGAAACAAAGCTCAAAGTAAAGATGACAACTTCAGTTCCTGGGCTTCTTCACGAGGCAGGGCTCCATTAATCTATTGATAGAAATGAAATTCAGTGCAGCACTGGAACAAAAAAGATAGTGATGATACAAGGCACACAGAAAAGAGAAAAGAAGGTCATGGGGAAAAAAATAAAACATTTGTCTGCCACAAAATTACATTTTCAACTTCAGTGTTGTTACAAACTTCGATTTTGTATGACAGGCAGCATGGTCTGGTCAGTAGTGTCCTGAACCAGGAGTCTGATGACTCTTTTCCCATCTCCCTATTGCACTGTCAGCGACTTAGAAGTAATTTAAATAATAATGCCTGCTTTCAGAAATCTCATGTTAATTCTCACTAGTGAGAGAGACAGGTTGTGTAACTCGGGGCTGACTGACATGGGATACTTGTTAGGCAAAGATAGAGGCACTAACACTTGTTGACATTTGCTTTCAAATTGATCAGTATGATAACACTCTGGGTAACAAAAGCAGCAACATTAACACTGCCTTTTTATCCTGCATAAAAAGATGCCTTTGTTTTTGCAGTTCAATGCATTCCTATACAAATTCTGTGAAAAAAAAAGTTACTTGATTGCCTGGAGAAGCRAAACAACTTGCTCTGGTACTACTTCAATTTTCTAATTGTTTCAGCCAATAATTCAGCATTAATTCACTTTCAGCTGCCATAAATTTCTCAAGAAATAGAATCTTTGGCACCTATTCCTGCAACTTTAAGGTATTCTTCTGAAGTCATAATTTGGCTGTCATGGTTGTCCTTTTTTAACATAAATCCATCCTTTTTGAGTTGCAACAAACATTTTAAAATCAGTATCCTAACTGGGCTAAACTCCTATTTTGGATTTTAAAAGCGACTTGAACACGCGGTATAACTCATATTCAAGCAGCATGTAGCATGGGACAGTCATCGCTCTGAAGCAGCGTATTTGTATGTCAAAAATAGGTTATCTTAATGCATAGATATACATATATAATTTAATGCTGTGTACTAACTGAAGTAGCCAAAGGGATTGCCCACCCTTCATGCCGTGTAACAGGAACTAATGCAGCTCTGCTGAGAAACAAGAAGCTACAGAAGGGCTATCTGAACCATGCAAGAGGTTGAGTACTGATGGAAGCTGGACACTCTCTCCATTCTTGGGAGACCAGCGTTACTCATGCTGGTCATATTTCACCATGAGAGGGTGGATTTCTAGAGCCAGGAAAATTTGTCAATTTGTTTAATCCCCAGCCATGGATCTTGCAGCCAAGGAAGTGATGAGGGTCATGTGAGGGTCATGCCTCTACAGCGTGTCAGGAAAGAAGTGACTCTTTCCTTCTCTTCTTTCCCCATCCACTGATACCATAAACCTATTACGCCTGGCTTTGCCCCTTGCTGAAAATGTTAGACCTGTACAAGTAAGTCAAATGAGACTGCATGTGGACTATATTCCATGGATGTGAATATGGAAGGTTTCACTACTGCTCTRGGAGTCTCACTGTTTAATGCTCATTGCACACATCTCAAATCTTGGTATCTTTCAGCATTGCCTACACATCAGAACAAAASGGGGTGGTAGAAAGCGCAGCACAGAGTAAATACCAGACAATCCCTGATCACTTCCATGCACAAACTCAAAAAATGCCTTGTTTGTAGATAAAGCAAGTACCAAACAAAAGTTGTTTTAAAAAAAGTGCCTGAGAGAAAAAGCGAGGAAGCAAAGGAAAGGGGCAGAAATAAATATACAATACTTGGAGGAGAAAAAGTCAAAAGGAACAGAGGATAAAGAAAAAAGATTTAAAAGTCAGACAAAAAGACATGGAATAATTCTGCTGTTTATGTATTGCATCCATTGTATATCTGAACACAATAAAAAGGGCAACAACCTTTGAGATACTAAAAGAGCTTTTCACACCACTGCATGAGCTATACTTTTAATGTCTCACTGTCCAAAATGACTAAAACTACCATCCAGAAGAAAAATTATTTATCTTCCCATCCAGTTCTTCTAACCCTTATTGTGTGGTTCTGTAACCAGCATCTTCTCCCTCTCAGAAGACTTTTCTGATTCCGTGGTGCAGGTAGTACCATGATTTTTGAAGTGTTTCTATGGACCAATGATGACACGGGTATCCATTTATATTAACGCATTATCAGCTCTATACAATAGTTTGTCACTCTATATGCAATAGTTTTTTCTGGTTGACTATAATGCAGAAATTGAGAAGTTAAAAAAATAACAGAAAAAGTTCCTGGTAAGATGTTAGCAGCTAAGTGTGCCTATGTATTTTAAATACATAATACTTACTYGTAAGGATTGTCAACAAAAACAGGTACTCTGCATAAGATATCAATCCTGAAAAAAAAAGTTAAAATATTACTTGTGAAAAAAACCAAAAACTTACAGCAAGACATGAAAGATCTTACWAATATAAAAAATGTAGTTTGACATTGCATTAAATACATATATTAAAGTAASCCATGTTACTATTTAATAAAGTTTTTACTTCTGTTTATAGTATGCTGGAGGTAAAATTCCCTAACCTGARACTCATCAATGTTCATGTCCAACCAAGAAAGTAAGGTTTATTTGGTTTTAACAAAAGGCCTACACTAAATCTTTGGATTCTCACTGAAAACATTCAATGTTTATATAAAAGGCRAATAAATTAAATGCACTTTGTCACATTTAGTATCTGGGAGGAGAACTACTCYAACATTACCCTGAAGGATCAAAGTCCTCCATCCTCTGGCAGGCTCGCAAAGGGCGGAGAATAGCTTCCCTCTAATTCTCAAGGGGACATGGCAACACGCAAAGCTGCCAAGCTGCTAGATTGTGCTGATAGTACTGCTGGGCTGCGTGCCAAGGGGAGGCTTCTTATTTTTTTTAAAAATAGGAACATGTCCTTTCTACAAGCTGAAAGTATTTTCCCCCCTTTTGAAGGAAAATTCCAGTGTTTTCTTTTGAAATACTGCCTTAAGTGAAAAGCCTGAACAAACCAAAGATGTGATAGCGTCAAAATAGAGTGTGCAAGCTAAAGATAGAGAGTGCAGAATGAGGGTGGCTAAACAACAGAATCTGAACCATCTGCCCTGCAATAATGTTTGGGGAAAAAAATGTAAAGGGCTTTTTTATAAATCACTTTTCAAAATAACTGAGCTACTTTTAACTTGTGAGCTAAACATTGTATAATGCTGAAGCTGCTTAAAATAATGAAGTTCAAACCTGCCTAYCCAGGCAAGGATTAACTATTTTTGTAATTTATATTTAGTTAATTGATAGATAAGGAATCCACTTAAGATTCAGTGATAAACAATTAACTTCTGATAAACTACTATGCAGAAGCAACAGCATTTGTATTTGACCTCAGATAGTGACTTAACACTTCTAAGTTCCAGAACTTAGAAATATTAAATTGTTAAATGCAAGAGTCTGAAAATCAGAAAACAAGTCTTAGCTAAAGGGAGGTGTAACGCTGATCCTRTTGCCAACTCACTGTGACTCCATATCTCAGCTTTCCTTTCCATCAAAATAGGGCTTTTTACCCTATTAACCAACATGAAACGTGCAAATCAGCACAGTACTACAATTATATAATACGTCGTGGAAATAAAAAAGACTTTAATCTCAAAGACTTTGTCTTGCTTACAAGTTCTAATATTTCTGCCATTGCAAGAGTGCAAATGATTATTTCCATTGCTGTAAAATCTGAATTGTATTCTTAAATGAAGCATTTAGGCTTTCTACAAGTTTGAAACCAAATAAACATAGAAAGAACTCCTACTCCATTTTTTTAGCTTACAA